TCTAGGTGCACAATGATTATCAGCTGATTGTGGGACAGTGCTAGGGGATGTATGAAGCCAAAAATCCAACCATGGTCAAATATTTTGAGAAGGCTAAAGCCATGCTGACTTAGAAGGACGAGATGATTAACATTACCAGGGTGCACTAAAGGACAATGCACAAGCTGACTTCATCTCCAAGTTGGTCAGTGCTAACCCAACTGACCTTCCCATTGATGTTTATATTGAAGTCTTGGACTGACCCCGTATGGAAGAGAGCAATGCTACAATACCCCCAATTATGAGAACTGAGGATTGAAGAGCTCCAATCATGGTATACCTACTCACATATACCTTGCCCTCGGATAAGATGGAAGTCATAAAACTAACCAAGAGAGCCTCAGGTTGTTATTTGATTGACAAGGTCTTGCATTAAAGATCTACATCATCATTGTTCCTCGAGTGCTTGTTTTTAAAGGAAGGCATCTATATTTTTAGGGAGATGTATTAAAGAGTTTATAGATTGCATATAGGATTTAGAGCTTTGGCTGCTCAAACTATAAGAGTAGGCTTTTATTAGTCTTTCATACTCTAAGAATCCAAAGACCTAGTAAAGAAATGAGATAAGTGTCAAAGATTTGCCATAGTGTCAAGGCAACCCTCAACAAAGATGACAATGATCACTTCTTCTTGGCCCTTCTGTCGATGGGGAATGAATATTATAAGATCTTTCCCTAAAGCAATAGGGAAAAGACAATTTGTTATAGTGGTTGTGGACTACTTCACCACATGGATAGAAACTGAAGCATTAACAAATATTACAACCAATAAAGTGATCTCTTTCTTATGGAAGAACATAATTTGCTAATTTGGTTGCCTAAGATACTGATCATTGACAATAGAACCCAATTTAACAACTAGATGATGATGGAACAGTGCAAAAGATTGCAGATTGATCACAAGTTCTTTTCAATATCACATCTCTAGACAAATGGGCAAGTTGAACTTACTAACATAGTACTACTCAATAGTCTGAACAAGAAGTAGATAAAAAAGGCTAAGTCAGAATAGGTTGAGCTCTTGAATGAAATCTTATAGGCATATAAGTCAATAATAAAGACCTCAACAAGGGAAACCCTTTTTCTTCTCAAATATAGAACTGAAGCCACGATTCAAGTAGAGAATGAATGTCCTAGTGCTAGAGTATTGCACTTTTCTTCTCAAAACAATGAGCAAGGACTCAAAGTCAATCTAGACTTACTAAAAAAGTCCAAACTCACAATTGCAATAAGGAATGAGGCTTACAAACACAAGGCTACTCAGTACCTCAACACTAGGGTTAAAAGCATAACCTTCAAACAAGGGAACTTGGAACTAAGAAAACTAGAAGCCATAAACAATAAAGAAAATAGAGGAAAGCCAGCTTTAAAATAGGATAGTCATTTTAGAATGACGCAGGTGATCAGAGCTAATACCTATCACTTGTAAAATCTATAAGGTTGTGACCTTCTTTATATGTGACACTCAAACCATTTTAGGTTGTATAATTGTTGAATACATAAATGAAGAATGTATATTTTTATCACTTATATTCTTATTTAATTTACATTCCTTTCTCAAGAATACTTTCTACTAATCCACACCCTTATAGCATTTAAGGCCCACTTCTCTAGGATAGCAATGAAGTTGAAAGTGAGCATCAACATCTACTATTACCAATCGAGGTTATACACCTTTGTGGCATCTGGGACCTAGTTCTCTAGGGCAATAGTAAGGGATCAATGCTTCACTCTTCAAAAATTTTCAACGCCCACTTTCTTCTTTCTGTCTAACCTTTTTAATTGGAAGTAAGAGCAATAGAACGGCCTTATCGAGTCTATATTATATGTCCAAATGGTTTATATACCCATATGTGTGGTTTGGGAACCGCATCTCTCATGAACAACACGAGACCAATCTATGTGGCATTTAGGAGTGCTGGGGCGGCCTTACCAAGCTCAGCTCGTCTATACAACTTAGGTTACACACCTTTTGTGTGGTTTAGGAACCACATCTCCTGGATAGTACGAGTACCAACCTTTATAACATCAAGAAGTGCTTAAACCATCTTAGGCTGTATCATTATTGAATACATAAATAAAAAAAATGCATATTTTTATCACTTATATTCTTATTTAATCTACATTCCTTCTCAAGAATATTTCCTACCGATCTAAAACATCCCTGTGGCATCTGGAACCTATTTCCTTAGGGCGGTAGTAGGGGATCAATACTTTACTCTTTAGGACGGCTTTCAACGCCCCCTTTCTTTTTTCTTTCTAACCTTTTCAGTTGGAAGTAAAAACACTAGAGTAACCTTATCGGGTCCATCATATCTGTCCAAACAGGCTACATACCCATGTGTGTGGTCTAGGATCCACATCTCTCTTTGACAACATGGGACCAATCTCTATGGTATTTAAGAGTGCTAGGGTAGCCTTATCTGGCTTAACCTGTCTATCCAACTCGGGTTACACACCTTGTATGCGGTCTTAGACCCACATCTCTCTTGGATAGCATGAGTGCCAACCTCTATAATATTAAAAAGTGTCAGAACCATCCTTTATATAATAACACATCCTACTGGTCCAAATAGGGTTACACACCCTGTGGCGTCTAAAATCCACTTATCTAAGACAATAGTAAGTGTCCAATGCTCCTCAAAGAAAGGACTGAGAACACATCTTCAAGACTTAAACAATGAACTATCTAGGAACACCATCCCTACTAGCAAGACCCTAATAGAGGGAGTGTAAAAGACATCTTGATCAAGATTATGACTTAATTGAGTTTAGTAAAAAAAAAAATCTGGTTCTAAGTCTCCCCATCTTTCTAAAAAATAAGTAGACTTGGAGGGCTATTGATGGGTTATGATTTTCTAAAACCCCTCATTTAAAGGCCATCTCATAAAAGTCATAATAAAAAATGGGGTTATATTTTTTCAGTGTCCAACTTAATATGGGGCCATGGCGTACCTGCGTCTAACGTTAAGTTAGGCAGGAGCGTGCCCAACCCTAGGTTAGGCCAAAGCATGCGTATGCCCAACTTTAAGTTGGGCGCAGGCATGTCCGTGTTTGCGTTCAACCCTAGGTTAAACCATGATGTGCCCACTCCTAACTTTAAGTAGGGTAAGGGTGCATTCGTGCCCCTACTCTAATTCGGTCGTGATGTGTCAGTGCCCAACTGTAATTTGGGATGTGATGCGTCCCTGCACAACTCTAACTCAGGTCATGACATATTCACGCCTAGTTCTATATTGGGTTAGGACGTGTCCGTGCTTAACTCTACATTGGGCTATGAAGCCCTCGTCCCTAACCATTCTTGGGTGAAATCACAAGCTAACCTTATTCCTCTTGAGTTTTTAGCATATAAGTTGAACCTAACTACTTTTATGTTCAATATATAGCTAAAGATAACTCCAAATTAAGCCTCTCATACTCCAGGCTTGGGTTAGTAATTATGATACCCATTACATCCTATTAAATATAAACAAGCATCCATGTTTATATTAATTAGATGTGTTGGCATGAATAGTAGAATAATATTATTTATTATTATAAGATTACATCTCCACCTCTCTAATGTTGTATAAAGCCAGGTAATATAAAAAGAAGCATGAGTATATAGAAAAAAGGTTTGAAACCTTATATTCTGACATATAAATACAATCATTATTCTTTTTCTCTAACTTCTACATCTTCTTCTCCTTCTTTTTCTCTATTTTTATAAAAGCTCATTAATACCTTTATTAATGTCTTTTTGCCACATAAAAATACCTCATACTGATTTGATCTTCAAATGGTCCCCTATCAATACCTCAGGGGTCTATAAAGGACATTGTAAAGGTATTTATCAAAGAGAAGATTTATAATTTTTAAAGATTTTCATTAAAGAAGAAGTCATAGTAGTTTGAAAGTGAAGATTGTAGAACACACTATGAATGACATACAAGGATCTTAAGGAATAATTCCTTCCAAAATATTCTCTATGATTTTTATATCACCATCAAAAGCATTATTCTTAAATGTTCATGGTCAATGCTCTATTAAAACTGGATATTAATTAGAGTTGTTAATACTTAGTACATATCATGTTCTTTTCTTTATTACAACTAGAAAAATATATAAAAACTTCATTACATTAATGTCCTTTCATTATTTTAGATGAAAGACTTCAAACTAAGTTAGTATACTAAAAAGTACACCACTAAGTTAAACGATGTCATTAGCTCATTTATGTCTCAAATATTGTTGACACTTCAAATATATGAAATGATATTTTAATTGATAATTCACACCAAGATATTAGTTCTACCATTTTTGTCTCACAAGTGGATTCGTCTACATCAATATATATAGGCTTATTTCATATCATCAAATGAAATGTATCTCTCAAACTTCTTATAGATTTTGCATCATGGTTTCTTTTGTGTCTGCAATCCTTTTATAAATGCGCTTTCTGTAGATATACCAATATCACCTAGTTTATTGTTTGATGAAAATTTATTTTGTTTCATTTCTTTTTGATATTCTTTGTTCTTGATCTTGTAATCAACCTACTAGCACTAGCACAATGATTGAGAGTTGAGTGAGATCTCTCAACTCTTTAATAATGTTGATGAAAAAATCTTTTTTTTTTTTAGGAAAGTTAAGATTTTCTCCCCAACTTTAATTATTTTTGAAGAGAAATCATTAATGATTTCTCCTTCTTTCATCCAGAGATTTTCAAAATCTCTTCTTATAGTTTGAAGCTATATGGCTTGGTGCTTTGAAATTCATCGTGCCATGTGTTCCAAGCACAATTTTAGAATTAAAATTATAACTAACTGAAAATATTAAAAAAAAAGATATTGTATAAGAACATAATATAAATATGAGTGATATATTTTTTGAATTATATAACTATATATTGAATCATTTAACAAAAAAACATTAAGGAAAAATAATATATTTCAATAACAAGAAAATCAAAAATTGCAAGTCTTTAACAACGTACAGTTAATATATTAAATTGCACTTTTATTGGATACTTTATTTTGTCCACTAATTTTAGTTTTCATCATAATGAAAAACTCCAAATATTACAATCACTTATAAAACAATTCGTAGGAACAGTATGCCCAGATTAATGTCACCATGCATATGCTCTCTTGCAATATATCATTTTAGCACATATTTTACAAGACCCGGAAAATGAACATCCATCATGTAAGCTTCCCAATTGACACATGTGGGGTCAAAATTGAAGGCATCTGCATCTGAACAAGTCTCTCTTGCAACAATTTGCAACTTTTCCGAGTTTGCGTCATGAAATCTGAGTAAAAAAAGAAAAATTAATTCATTATTTTTGTAATCTTTGTAATGTGCATTTAAAGTATAGGATATATCAATGGAATTCAATAACTATATCCTTACATGCCCTTAAAGAACCCATAAGGTTCATAGAGCTCAGCTAATCGCATTACACGTTTCAATTTTCTGTCAAGAGTATTGTACTTGTCCTTGTAGCGTTTCTGGAATAAAACAGTATTTATTGCTAGATGGAATAGCTGGTAAAAGAAAAAAAATACTTGTTAGTTTGAGATTAATGAGAAAACAATCACATACATAGAAAGTTTATGTTTGATTATATGTTGCAAAAAAGGAAAAGCAATTATGAAATAAGACATGTTAATTTAATTATTGATTTTAGGTTGTAATCATGCATGATACATATGCATAGGGTACCAATTTTGATCTTTATCTACCACTTTATTAACTATCGGTGGCTAAAGCTATTAGGTGAGTTTCTAATATATGATTTATATTATTTTTTAAAATATATTTTTGAATAAAACCTCTTTAAATTTAAAACTTGTATAAACTCATGTTACCTTATATTTAATTTTCATAACATAAATGAGGATGGTGAAATTTGATTGAATTCGTAATCGTTTGATCATTAAGGCGTTAATAGTATCTTAAAACATCAATTCAATTTAATAACTTAAACTATTATATGAGGTTTCAATATATAATTTATATTATTTTATAATACTATCTAATCTAGGGGTGATTATTTTTTGTTCGGTTCGATTTTTATAAAAAAAAAAATAACTAAATCGAATTGTTTTTTTTTTAAACTGGTTCAAATCAACTAGTTTCGATTCGATTTGGTTTTTTAGAACAAAAACCAGTTCAAAAATGGTTTGACTTGGTTTTTTCAGTTTGGATCAGTTTTTTGGTTTGACTCTGTTTTTTTCGGTTTAACTCGATTTTTTCTTGGCTTGGATAGATTTTTTCAGGTTTGATTTTTTATTTATTTCAGACTTATAAAACCAAACCGAACCGGTCGGTTTTTTTAAAATTCTAATCAGTGTAGTTGATTTTTTTCACGGTTCTATTTTTTGTTTAATTTTCACATTAATCTGACATCATAAAATCCTCTTTAACTTATTATTATTATTTATAATTTATATATATAACCTTCTTGTAATTCCATCCCAATCTTGTTCATTAGATTATTTATTAATAATTTTATATTTAAAAAGAATATCAATTTTTTTTATTGTATAAATCAATAAAATAGGAATAATTAATAAGGAAAAGCGGTTCTTGAAATTCTGTGACTTTGCTTTCTTCAAAGGTATAGGCAAATACCTCCTTTTCTTATATTCAAATAATTTAGTAAAAATAGATTTTCATTAAATAACTTGTTATTTGCGATCCAGAAGAAGAACACTTTTCGTGCAACTATCATGACATCACATCCTCTTTTTGAACGATGGACCCATGATGATGCAGGTGATCTGTGAACTATATGAACTATAGAAATAGACTAAATTTTGATGGACAACGAAATGTGAAATTAAATTAATGCCAAAGAATTGGAAATTGAGACGCAGCTGAATTAAATTAGTTATGTTCATCAAACCTTTAATGGCAACGAATAACCACTACTAGAAAATATAGTCATTAGCAATGGACTACTCCATTGCAAATAATACTAAAATCCTTTGCTAACATAATTTAGCAACAGAATCAGCAACGGTAAATTTCGGATGCAGATTTGTCGTTGCTGATTCTTTAGCAACGGATATATCCGTTGCTGATTTCCCAGCAACGGAAATTCCGTTGCTTACAATTAGCAACGGATTTTCCGTTACAATTTTAGCAACGGATTTTCTGTTGCTAATTTTAGCAACGGATTTTCAACAACGGAAATTTCGTTGCTCATTTTGGGAATTTGCTGAGTATATTAATTTTATTAAATTAATTTTTATTTATTTATTGAAATGACTTTTAATTTGTTTAATTAATTATTTATAGATATTTTGAAAGTTGTAGAATATATATAACCAACATAAATTAATTTTAAAAATAATTGTATAACTAATAAAAAATAAAATAAAAATAATATTCATATTATAAAAATTTAGTCAAACTTGCATTAATACAATTATGTCGAAATACAATTAAAAAAAAATAACAAAAGATACAATCATGGTGGTGGTTGCGAAGACGAACCATGATATTGGGGATCGACACAAGATTGATCAGGATATAGTGATCGAGGTGTAGGTCGATAAAGTGGTTGAGATGTGGGACCCATAGGTGTCATTATCTGGGGAGCCATAGGTGAAGGCATACCTTGGCCAATATTTGATGTCCCACCACGGTATCCAAGATTGTTCACAAGATATTCTTGCATAGAATCCATCTGCCGTTTCATTTCAAGAATAAAATCATCTTTTTTCTTTATCTCCTCTTCTTTATCCTTTATCCTTTGTTGCAACGCTCGATACGATGAACTGGGATATGATGACTCCACCGAGTAGGAATGTGATGAAGAACTTGTACTAACTATAGATTTTGGCATACGAGGTGCACCATATACCCTACCCTTTGTAACTCCTCCTGAAGCCACACACCAAGTTGCTCCATCAAATGAAGGATGATTTTCTCGATTAGTTCCATACTTTGAAATCATCTCCTTTTTATAATTCTCCTACAAATAAAATACATGCATCAATAAATTCATTTGAATGTTAAATAATACTTAAGTTATATTAAGAAATAATCAAATAAAAATACATACAACCACTTTTTTAGACTTGTTGTCGACGAAGCTACCAGACTGCTTAGTACTCTGATGCAAAGCTGAAAAGACATTATCCCATGGAGGTTCTTTTCCACCAGCTTCCTCTTGCTTTCAAGATTAATAAATATTATAAAAGATAAATATATAAAATTTAATTCATTATCTTAAGCATAATAAAAAAAAATCATTACCATGTTAGCTCGATATGATGCAAATGACACTGTTCCTCCAGAATGAGTGCTTATTTTACCATCTGTTTTGGTTAATCGATTCCTCTTAGCAGATTCAGACCTCCTTTGAAATTCAGGGGTGGACCAAACATTTTTGATCATTTGATTCCAGTCAGCATTGTTTATCCAAGCAGGACCTTTATCAAGGCAATCTATAATATTTGTAGTGTTTTCTTTTGACATGGCTTTCTTGTGAGCTCGTGTCAATTGCCGATTCAAAGCTATCCTAGCCTTATCTTCCCAAATATTACGAACAATCGACTCATCTTCCTCAGGAAAGGAATATTTTTTCTACCAAATAATATATATACCAAGTTAAAAGAGTGCACAAAATTTCAAATTATATAAAAAATTAATCATATTGTTATCTTGTTCCGAATTTGCAAGATGATATAATAATTAAAGAAATTAAATGATATTAAAGAGTAAACAAGAAATAAGAACAAATTTTCATAATGCTATATTAAAGTGATCAAAATTTAAAAAAAAATGACAATTAGTGTTGGTTCTTACCTTAAACTCTTTAAAGAGTTCATCCCTGCACATTGAATCTACTTTTTCCCAAGAGTGCCATGCTCCTTTAAAATTGGACCTCAAAATATCTCCGATTGCATGTCCACACGATGCGTTATTGAACCTGAAAATATATAATAACAAACTTATAGTAAACAAATAATTACATAATAATAAGTAATTTTTTTCATACCTGAAAATATAATTTTTTTAAGTTAATTTTTAAAAATTTAAACTTACTCTGTTGTTCCATATAAACAAAGCTCTTTTTTTTCTTGTAATTGGATCCATTGGTGTGTCAAAACCCTTCCTTTTAACATTTTGATCATAATTGTATGGAGAAGATGTTGAACCGTGGTTTGATGGCACACCATCTGCATCCTCATCACATATACCTCTCTCATTACTACCGTCTCCCTCATCTTCATCTCTAATGTTCACATCATCACCATCACCATCAACTCTCCCATAACTCCTATATGAATTATGTCCTTCATAAATAAGTTGGTTATCTCGAGGGAAACCTCCTTGAATTTGAAGCAAATCTTGGAAGCGAAAGCCCTCACAAAATTGATATGCTTCAACCCTCCCATAATCACATTGAGGAGGATGTGTACTCCCTAAAGTAGGTATATAACACTCATTTGCATTTTGATACACAAGTTGCTGAAATGTAGATCCTTTGTTATTATGCCTTGATGTAGTTTGAAATGATTTGGATGAAGTGGACCTGTCACTTCTTGAAGTGGACCTATCACTCCTAGAATCTAATATGGATCCTCGTCGAGGCATGCTAAAAACAAGAAAAAACATAAACATTATCATATGAATATATACAACATAACAATAAATTAGCTCATAGTCAAACTTTCAATAACAAAAAATTCACAGATATTTTTGCAAGAGTGCCATAACTAGAATAAAAACAAACTGTTAAATCTCATTAAGCATTCATTGTAATAAATTAGCTTATAGTCAACGTAATAGTCATAACTTCAAAAAATATTATACTTCAAATAAAATAATTACTGTAACAACAACAAATATATAAATAACATCAAGACCATTTCATTAAGCATTCATTGGAATAATAAAAATCAGCCATGAAGTTTATATTGTCAAAAGCCAATTAACACAAACAATAATAAAAATATAAATCTAAATAATTACTTGATAGGAAATCAAAATTATAAGTATGCTTACCTTAATGTTTGTTCCTATAAATCAAAACATTGAGTAGGAAGAACCCTTTTCATTAATGCTCCAGTATCTATCAGCAAGAAAACAAATCACAAAATAAATTATAACATCAGAATCACAATTTAAAGATTGATACTTCAAAGGTTAGAAATGGTTTCAAAGGTCAATGAAAATAATACATGTAATGTCATCCATAACACACACTTCAATAAAATAATAAAGAAAAAACATTGAAAGCCTAAATATTATCAAATAATATGAAATCATCATACATATAAAAAAAAATATTCATTACATATACTACGAAATATAATTAACCTATGCTACTCATTATTATCATCACTGCTAACCATGTCATCATTATCACACAAAACCATGTTTTCATCGTTGTCATCACCACCACCATAAGAATCATCGCCATCACCATCGCCATCGCCATCGCCATCGCCATCGCCATCACCATCACCATCACCATCACCATCACCATCACCATCATCATCTTCTTGTTCTTCTTCATTGTTTCCCCAATTTATGTCAAGTTGAAGCAATTCATGTTGACTGATTTCTTCATAATAAGATGATTCAACAAGTATATTTTGATCATCAAGTGTTTGGGTAGGAAGGACACGACATGGTTGATAAATCTCATCTGATTGATCAACATCAAATGATCGCACATTGTTGGCATCTTCAATAAATTCACCCATGTCAACATTATAATGACTTCTAGCAGTAGTCTTAATAACCGTCCACCATTCAGATGATTTATTACCAGGCGGATATGTATAGTAGACTTGTTGACATTGTTGTGCTAGAACAAAATCTTCATTTTCATGTAGTCGAGATGTATGCTTGATTTCAACCAAACCATTCGAACGATGTACTCTAATCCCTCGCTTTGTATCATACCAATTACATTTAAACATAAATAACTTGCACTTACTCCCCAAGTATTTGAGCCGAACAACTTCTTTAAGCATTCCATAATAATCACGTTCATTATTATCATAGCAACTTCCCTTCACACAAACTCCACTATTCATTGTCTTTTTAAAACGCCCATAACTTTGAGTATGAAATTTAAAACCATTCACATAATACCCATTATAACATTTCACTGAAGTTGAAGGCCCCATAGCAAGTCCAAAGAGTTGATTTCCAATTTCGTTACATTGGTATTCCACCTAGCATAATAGTTAACTTCACAAGAAATAGTGATTTAAAAGAGATTAGTAATCTTTTTAAAGTAACTAATTGACATAAAATATAAATACTTATGTATACTTACATTATTTTTTAACCAATTTGGAAAGATCTCTTCGCATAAGTTTTCAATTTCAACATCACTCACATGTGGTTGTTGTGACTTTAGCTCTTGACGACATTGCCTAAAATTTTCAAATATTAAAGTTAATAACAGATTATTATAAATTAAGTACAAAATAATATTTTATACTTACTCTAAATAAGGCTTAAGTTCTTGACAATTGAATATCACATAGTTATGTGCAACTTGCATTTCAGCATGGGACAACTGTCTTCTATAAAATCTTTTGGATAATTTTTTCCCTGGATAGGAAAAAATAGAGAGACATCCATCTACAATGTTAAGGCCACCATCATCATTCCGTGGAACTCGATTCCAAATTGTTTGCACGTCATCACCAAAATAATGAGATGCAAAATTGGTGATTTCATCAATCAAGTATGCTTCACATATGGAACCCTCAACTTTAGCTTTATTGGTCACTTTCTTCTTCAAATAAAACATATACCTATATCATTTCTTAATATTAGTTTATTTTTTAAAATAAAAAGGGAATAAAATTAACATAGTATAAAAACATACCGTTCAAATGGATACATCCATCGATATTGAACTGGTCCACCAACTTTTGCCTCATAAGGTAGATGTATCATCAAGTGTTCCATGGAGTCAAAGAAGGATGGAGGAAAAATCCTTTCAAGTTTGCAAATTATTTCAATTATATTCATCTGCATTAACTCCATATGCTGGGCATTTAAATTTGTTGTACAAATATCTCAAAAAAATACAGACAGTTCAGTTAATGCCTCCCATAGTGGCCTAGGCAAGTAAGGTCAGAAAGCAGTTGGAAGAAGTCTTTGAATGAAGACATGACAATCATGACTCTTCATCCCCGAAACCTTACATTGTGCCTCTTTCACACATCGTGAAATGCTTAAAGCATAACCATCAGGAAATGATAATTCCTTCAACCATGACAAAACTTCTTGTTGTTGTTTCTTGTGTAGACAATAAGTGCCTTTAGGTTTGTAAACCCGACCACTCATATCTTGTTGCAAATGCAGATTTGGCTTCTTACAATACAATTGAATGTCCAACCTAGCCTTTAAATTGTCCTTACTTCTATTAGGACAATCCATTACTGTATAAAAAATATTGTCGAAGACATTTTTCTCAATATGCATGACATCAAGATTATGACGAATCAAATTTGTATGCCAATATGGAAGCTCCCAGAAAATGCTCTTCTTCACCCAATTGTGTTTAACACCAAAGCCAGGAATTTTATCATTACATGATGAACTTCCATTATGTCCCTCAGTATACTTGGACACTTCATTTAACATTTCCAAACCAGATGGACGAGGTAAAGGAGGGAGCCTTTCAATTACTCCTTTCAAAAACTTATCAGATTGACATCTATATGGGTGGTTCATGGGTAGGAATCGTCGATGACAATCAAAAAATGTTGTTTTCCCTCCATTTTTTTAATATAAAAGCCTTGCTATGCTCCATACAATAAGGACAAGACAGATTTCCATGAGTACTCCACCCTGATAACATACCATATGCTGGAAAGTCACTAATGGTCCACATCAAAGCTGCCCTTAATTGGAAATTTTCCTTTCTGTATACATCATATGTTTCAACACCAACTGACCAGAAATTCTTTAACTCATCAATTAAAGGCCTTAAGAAAACATCAAGCTTTTTCCCCGGATTCTTTGGCCCAGGAATCATCATTGTCAAAAACATGAATGGTCTAGTCATGCACTTCCACGGAGGCAAATTATAAACAGTAACAATTACTGGCCAACAAGAGTATGTATTTGAAGACATGTCAAATGGACAAAACCCATCAGTGCATAACCCTAACCGAACATTTCTGGGATCTGATGCAAAGCTTAAGTGGACACGATTAAACTCCTTCCATGCCTCCCCATCAGATGGGTGCACCATAACCCCATTATCTGACGTATGAAAATGATGCCATGTCATATCTTTGGCATGATATGGAGACATGAACAGTCTCTAAAGCCTTGGTGTCAAGGGAAAGTATCGGAGTTGCTTCTCAGCCTTATTGGAACCTTTGCTAGTAGGATTTTTAGGTTTGTATCGTGAACTTCCACAAAATCACAATTAATTTTCATAGCATTACTCCATAGTATAGCATACAGTAATTAGGACACACATCATATTTCTCATAACCAAGTCCAAGTGGCCGCATAAATTTCTTGGCATCATAAAAATTGGATACCAAATTTTCATCATTAGGCATGCAACTTTTTGTAAAATCAATAAACTTGTTGAAGGCAGTCTGAGTCAAATTTAAAGTTGACTTCATATTAAGCAATTGTACACAAGTAGATAATTTGGATTGCTTGGTACACCCATCCCACAAAGGCTCCTCCGCAGCTTTCAAAAGCTGAAAAAATTTAGTTGCCTCCGGATTTGGAAGTTCCTCTGCCACCACAGGACTAAACACATTATCATTATAGTATGCATCACCAACCCCCATTGCATCCATGACCAGATTCCTATATGGATTTTGTAGACAAACATCATTCACAACATGACTAATTCCAACCGATGAAGGTCCAGCCAATATTGGTTGTGCGACATAAGGCTCCCCATGTATAGTCCAATTTTCATAATAAGGTAAAAAACCTTTTGTCAATAGATGCTTACAAACATCATCTTCCTTTAAAAACTTTTGATTTTTGCACCTAACACAAGGACATCTAATTTTCCCCCCAGATATATTTTTATCAATTGAAAAGGCAAAATTGATAAATCTTCTAACACCTGTAATGTATTCAGGACGAAGACGACCATCCATAAGACGACGATACATCCACGATCGATCATCCATGTTAATCTAATTAACATGATAACACCAATAAGTATTTTTATAAATAAGCATACTGCTTTAACTACTAGTACTTAAACAATCATTTAAATTAAAATATGTTGTCTAACCAAATAATCAAAATGGAATTTGGCCCTCTAAATGCCTTCATGGTTTTGAAATTAAATAAAGAAGACCGAGGCTTGTTCTTATTCTTCTTAAGAGGAAAATTACTAAAAACATGAACTTCAGGAAGCAATATGTAAAAGCAAAAATAAAAAGGACAGCACTATGGCCAGAAAAGTTAATTGAATATAATCCCAGCATCATGTTCACATAAACCTCCAAACCTAGGATCTACAAGGAAAATAAATTTAAATATGAATAATCTAATCCCAATGAAAAGTAGAGTTCCAATTAATTGAAAAGATTACAATAGGCATGCCCAACAGACAAATTAAGCATAATCTAATTAAGCAACCATAAAAAAATGAAGCAAAATAGACTTACCTAAGCCCCAATAATCAATGACCCAAGGTGGAGATTTCCTTGTTGCAACTCAATCAGACTTAGCCAACTCTATTGATTTATATTGTGATCCAATAAGCCATTTATACTGCTGGAAAAGTAAAAAACATAAACAGTATGTTATACCTATCCACCTATATCAATTGCTAGTCTTTAAAACAAATGTAAGTTCAACTATGAAAAACAAAAAGAATATCCAAGTTAAAGTACTGTTTAGTTTTTATATTTTCATGGCAATTGTTTTGTCATAACAATTTTTTTTCTTCTAAGATCTAACCTAAAAATTTTCAATCTTGAACAAGATTACAAAGTTATTTTGAAATTTCAAAATAACTAACATTTACCTCACCTACTTAGCAACACTATGAAAGATACGATAATAAATTTCATCTCACATATATGGTTTACTATCGATAAAGACCATATCATTTCTTACTAACCAAATAGACCCCAAATTAGCATGCATCTCACCACACTGTAAGACGACCATTGCTGAAAGAGCACATCAATAAAGCATAGAACTACCCAAGAAACACCCACCAGCATATAATGTTAGAATTTTTTTTTTAAAAAAAAACATGGTTAAAAGAGCATATTTCAGAACAAATTTAAAGTGAGTTTCATATGAAAATTAATTTTCAACATAAATCCCTTGATATGAAATATTATATCTTATGGTTTTCAAAAACATAATGACTAACTTATAAAATCATAAATAATGCATAGACTAAATTATAATGTACTCTAATTATTATCTCTTAAAACCTATAACTTAATAGGAATCTATATGCTTAGGACATAATTTTTCTACAAAACCAAGCCTTTGCATAAAATGAAATTCCAATGAGATGCTTTTTCAACTCAAAGAGCAGAACAACAAGGTACAAAAAGTATAGCATAAATAACTTAGCTATAAATAAACCTAGCTAACAACAAGTCAGATCAAGAGAAAATCAGTCCCAAGACTAAGAATTCACAGCAATGAACTACTGACTTCCCAGCAACAATCAAAATAAATTTGGAGTTAATTGATATATTATTTAGTCATCTTCAAATTTCATTTTTGTCTTATAATTTCCATCTAAAAAGAAACTTAATATCAGATTCAATGAAAGAAAATCATTCAATTAATTTTTTTATATACAAACTACAATTGAATAAGGAAAAGAAAAATACAGTTCTATGTCCTGAAAAGTTAATTGAATATAACCAACATACAAACTGGAATTGAATAAGGAAATAAAAAAAAAACAGTCCTATGCCCTAAAAATTGAAATATGCATATTTAAATTTTGATACAAAAGAATCAATACATACCACTTAATCCCGTCTTTGGTAGTTATTGCAATATCTGAATTTTGTTTGCTGAAAACAGGAACTCCATCAACCCTCCTACTCCCATAGCTATGTGGAATAGTCTTGAGAAGTTGGTGTGCTGCCTTGACTTGTGACAGCATAAATCAGATAAACAGAATTATGAATGTATAACAATAAACACAACTTTATGAATACAATAAGTGTGTATAAGTTTTGCAACTAAAACTAATAATTGCATATTTTGAAAAAATATTTACAAAAATCAGCAACCACCACATCCTAGTAAGTTGGATTGGCTGTGACTAAAAGGCAGCACTAAAACTTTGCAAGCATGCTCAATCAAATTACAAGAAGAAGAAAAGAAGCACTTGGACTGCTACAGAAGAAGGAAATCATCACAGGTTAACTAGTTGCTAGACTCTATAGATTTTAATAGCATCCATACACTGCTGTAACACTTAAAAATTATAGAAGTAGAGCATTACAAGATAAAAAGTTGAAGCAACAGGGTACATCTCAGTGAAAGCAAAGAAGTTGAACTAATGCATAATTTCCATCGATCACTCTTTTCCAAACATATGAATTACCAGCATTAGTCCAGTAGCCTAAAGACGTTCAATTTATGAACTATAACCCTAAAAATTAAATTGGGGGTTTTGATAAATTTTCAATTAAACATGCATAATTAAGTTATAGATTATGTTAAAAACATTTCATAAACCCTTATATTATCAAATTAATAGCCTAAAACCAGCATTCAAAGTATCGAGAAAAAAAAATGTTACCTGTGTTCTTCAATTATAGGTGACCGAGATGGATCTACAGGACAGAAAAAAACCTGAGATTGGAAAAATTAGGTGAAAGATTTTTAGTGTAAGTTAAATTGCAACAAAGAAAAACAAAAACCCTAAATTTTCAATTACCTGAACTATTGAAGAAAAGCGTGAAAAACCCAACCTGTTTACAATGAGAAGGGGTAAATCAGCATGTTCGATAGTGATAATGCTGGGTCTGGTTCGATGTTGCCATGGATCTGTGGTTTTGGTGGTTTACAGAGAAAGATTGAAACTGTGCAGATGAAAGAGAAGAAGATGAAGGAGAAGAATTACGGGTGCTGAAGACACGAAAAAGATGAAATGTTTGGGATAAAGGAAAATCAAATCGATGAAGAGAGGGTGATTTTTCTACAGTATTGGATCGATGTTATTAGGGATGAAGGAGACTGGCAGAGTGAAAGTTCATTAATTTTCATCTGTTGGTTTTGTTAATTGGTCTCTGTTTGCATTTCGGTGTGGGGGGAGAGTACTTATGTAGATTTACCAAAGCCAGCAAAAAACAAACTGTTGAGATTTTATCCTAGTAAGTATAATCAACGATGTTCGTAATTTTGGTTTTATATTAAAATTTAAATAATTATTTTTTTAATTACCAACGGAAAATCCGTTGCTAAATTCAACGTAAAGTTTGCAACGGATTTTCCGTTGCTAAAATCCGTTGCTAATATTAAAAAAAATATATATATGTAATCTGTTGCAGATCTGTTGCTGAATTTAGCAACGGAATTATCCATTGCTAAATTCAGATGCTAATAGCCCCTGTTTTTAGTAGTGAACGAATCGACATGTATATACGGAAACTAGCCATGGAGCTGAAAGCTGTAAACTCGCCAACCTTTATTGGCTTTCCATCTTTGTCAATCAACGGATTTTGAACGAAGTAACGCATGCTTAGTTCTTGAAAATTTGAGAATTTGAACGGATTTCTCAATGAAGATCCTACATGATAAATGATTTCTGAAGAAGTGGATCGGTTTGCACATTCCACCATGGCCATTATAAGAGCATTGATTACCATGTCAGCTGGTATCTGCATCATTTCCAGGACATTTTCAGTTTGGGCATGCTTATATATATAAAAACTAATGAAAGAACGAAGCGGGTATTAGCTAACCACGTCGACTGTTAACTTTGGATTGAACGGTAAGTGTTTCAATTTCCCTTTAGCATAGCCAACAGCGACACCATTAATGGTCCTGTGTTATGGGGACAAAAATTGAGATTGGAAAATTAATTAAGAACCATGCATGCTTACACCATGATGCGTGACACGACGAAAAGATTGATGTCTTCTCCCAAGTGCAGGAGTGTCGAAGTAATAAATAACCCGGTAAGACCGGGGTCGAACCATAGGGAGGTTAATTGTACAAATTATAAACAACAATTATAAAACAACAATAATAACAACAACAATAGTAACAATAATAATAATAATAATAATAAAGAAAGAGAAGAAGAAGAAGATGATGATGATGAGAACTTAGAGATGAAATATTAAAGTAAGGATTAAGCAATAATAATAACAAATGTCAAGGTTAGAGGTTCCACTAATGGTATATCAAACAAGTATAATATAAACTCTTATTATTGAATTGGAAACCACACACAAAGGAGGTTCCAATCAGATTATATATTGTTAACATGATTACATTAGTTATCTTATTCAATTAATGCTAATACTTGTAAATCTCGTCAAGCATTCATGATTATAACTTATGTTAACAACAAATCAAGTTCCTTTCATAGCTTAGGTGTCGGTTATACCATACATTATGGGCTATGAAAGTGCCAAGCATTTGTTGTACCAAGTGTTATACAACATAAATCAAGATTAATCATTTAACAAGCAAAGTATTAAAGAGTGAACAAGATAACAAATACAAAACATGTTAGTATCAAACATTAAAGTCCATATTAAGTTTACACTATACTTATTCTTACACCATTAGTGTAACCTTTTCACCTTGACATAACTAACTTAGCTAGACATAATGAAAGAAAGCAAAATAGATAAACAAAATAAGAACATAAAAGTTAACTAAGTAAAGGAAAGGAAATGAAAGACATAAACTTAATATTAATGAAAGCAAAGCATAAACATTACAAAAAATACAAAGAGAGAAAAGAAGAGCATGATCTTGATCTGGAAACCAAGATGCCTAAATTCATGACAAATGCCTCCTTTTATAGGCCAAAATTGGGAACTATTGATTTGATGACTAATTGATAAGTGGGTGGCCAACTTTTGACTTGGTGACAATCCTTATCTTCTCTTGTCTGCCCAAAACGTCATTGATAACGTCAAAATTGGAGCCCGTTGCAAACATGAAAGTTGTAGGCAATTGTCTCAGCTTTCTTGTGTAAAAAATTTAGCTCATTTAGACTTCTAGAACTCCAGATATGGCTAAAATACCAAATAGTGCTCGGGCTGGAAGACAGATTCGGGCTTCTTTGTTGTTGCTACAATTTGGACTTGATAATGGCCTTTTTAGATCTTGGGCTCCATATGAAAGTTGTAGGCCTATGTCTTACCTTTCCATCCATATAAATTGGACCTAAATCTGAGATATATAGCTCTAGATATGACCCAATTACTAAACAGTGTTCCGGTTTGGATTGCACCGACATCTCTTTTCTAAGTTTGGCCATCTCTTTATCCTTGCAATTTAAGTTCTTCAAGTCATCAATCAATCCTTTCATTTATGTGATAGGCCTGCATTAAAAATAGATATTTACCACAAATTATAGGTATCTTATATTATTAGATACATTTTTATAAAACATATTTTAGTTAAGGAGTTATTGATATTTCAAGTGCAAAATGATGATATAAAACCATGATAAAAATGCACTTTTAAGTACTAATCACATCCCCCAACCAGCTTATTACTAGTCCCTAGTAATCAAAGTGTTAAAATAGAAAACAAATTTGCAAATTTCACAAAGCAAGGTATTCATCATTTAACTTCCATTAATCCATCCAGATAAACAAACTCTCATTAAATTTATATATCTGCTCAATACCTCTTAACAAAATATTAATAAACCTTGTTTTTGTGCTCAATGTATCAACACATAATTATGGGGCTTTTCTTGGAAGAAAACAAAATTTTTGTTCTAATGTTTAAGGTTAACTTCCTTGGATTGGGATTACTATTTTTGTCTCTTTTTTTTTGTCTCTTTTTTTTTTAACTCTATATACATATACTTTAAAAACATCATGCATCTTTAACCCATGTAATGAGCTTTCAGCTAATGACTCCCAGACCAGTTGGTCTTAGGGCATTAGGTGTTAAGACACCCCTACGAGCTTAGTAACTCGGGTCGCAGATACTGATATGTAGATAGTGCAATGTTTGATTCCCTTAAGCTTTTCTCCTTAACCCATGTAACAAGCGTTGGGCCAATAGCTCCCAAGTCAGTTGACTTTAGGGTATTAGGTGTTAAAACACCCCTTCGGGCTTAATTGCTTAGGTTAGGGAGGCTACGAAACCAAACTTATCTACATTTTTATTATCATCATTTTTTCTTTTCTTTTTCTTTTCTTTTTTTTTCATGTTTTTTTTCTTAATTATATACAATCCCTTTTCCTTAGTTGTTACCTTTAACAAAAGAACATAAATAATGTAATAATCCAATATGCAACCCACAATCATATGTTAAAGTGTGTGTGTGTAAATTAAGGTTTAAGAATACATGTTAAATAAGTATGTGAGCAGAATTAAGTGATAACAATGCGAGAGTTTGTAAACCTGAATATTTCAGGAAGTATTATAATAGACCTTGTTAAGAATGGTTACTAAGATGCGTCTCAAGAGTCACCTTAACAAAAGAACTCCTTTACTCTGCCATCCTAGTAACAACAATTATGCACATGCTTTATGAAATGAAAAACAATTTTTTTTTTTTATCAACTACTACCCTCTCCCCCCAACCAAAACGAGACATTGTCCTCAATGTTCTAAGGTAGAAAGATAGAGTATAAAAGATATCACCTGAAATAACGAACACTGACAAAACCTGAAACACACTGAAACAAAAATAAGAAATAACAAAACATAATAATAAAACCAAAAGACACAAAAATTCACAAATGAAGGCTCAAATCCAATCTAAGCTTTTTACGGCTTTCCTTAGATGACCAATTTATACGAGTCATGGAGGGATCAATCACAGGAATGAAAGATTGTAGTTGGTCAATCAAATATGAAAGATCTCTTCCAATGTACCTAGACCACCTGGTAAAGCAATGAAGGCATCAACATGGTTAAACATTGCATTCATTCGAGCCGACATTGTGGAGACCTGAAGTTCCTCTCCAATTGTTTTTCCAATGATGTCTCCTTGTGCCAAAGCTTCAGGGACGACCCCCAAAACTTGACTACCTCCTAAAAATGTAGCTATTGACACACCTCCCATTAACCCAAGACTGCCTCGCCCATACACTAAATGAATCTTTCTCTCAGCTAGCACCTGACCAAGATGATTTGCTGATTCTAGAAACTCCTTTTCTTTCCCAGGACTAGATCCACTGAAAACACAAATATTTCTTATTTGATGACTTGAGGAACTTGCCATTTCTACACACTTCTGTATTTGTTGAATGTATGGGTTGAGTAGAAATGAAAGGAAGGAAAAGAGGGTTTTATAGATGAGAAATTAGAAAGGCAATCATAACACCTATATGTAGGCCAGCTGGAGTCTCACACACACTCTCTCTCTTTTTATTTATTTATTTATTTACTTTTGAAAAAAACATGTGTATGTACAGGTAGTTGTGATTGTGGCTCACATCTTCCCTTGGTTTTACGTCCAAGAACGGCTTAAACGCCCTCTATGGGTCGGGGATAGGCTTCCCATCCAGTTTTCTTAAAAACTGGCAAACAGGGTCTTTTTTAGTCAAATTCCCAAGACTAAGTCGATCATGTTCTTTATGAAATAGTGGCCATAAATCATGAATTGCACGATGCACATCTCCACTAGAATGCGTCTCAAGAGTCAATAGAAGATTATCTAAAGACTCCTTACTCAGGCCATCCTTAATGAATTGTATTTTATCTTCACGGTTTATAGATACCATTCCTAAAGAACGACATTGTGTATTACAAGTCCATCTAGCACATCGATGACAGACATCCAGTCGTTTTGCACGACGCTTCTTTGCAAAAGTGCTTTTACCTGTTCCAGGCATGTGTGAAATGAAGTTAGAGGACTCACCTGATAATCGGACCTTTGCTTCAATCAACCAGCGAATATCTTTAGGAATTCCATGATTCATTAACAATCTCAATCTTGCACATCTAGCACGGTAAATTTTTGTAATCGCATTCTGAGGCAGGGCGGGAAAATACTTTTTCAATTTTTCAAGATTAGTGTCCATTTTCAAATGAGAATTAGAAGAGAGATTCAAAGAATTGCACAAATATATACACAGATATCAGTAATTGTGGGAAACTGAAAGAACCGACTTAAGTCACGGAGTACCGTTATCCACCATTTGACCGGGGTGAAAGAAACTAGCAAAAATCACTCAAAAAGAAACATAAAAAAGAAAATGTGAGAAAAACAAAATAATCAACCTTTATCTACAAGATCATTCAAACCAGCTGATTCATTTTCACAAGGAAAATTATTAAAGTAAGCTTTCAAACGATGTCTATTTTCCTTAAAATCATTGTCATTCATTGAATTCTCAATATCATAGGCCCCATAAGGATTGCTCCATTTAGGTCTTAGCTCTCTAGGGAATGCATAGAGTCGAGAATTATAAAACAAAACTTTTTGACCAGTATCAATCTTTTGACAATTTTCACAAGTTTTGCAGAATGCATGCGTGTCCTTGAACATGGTGGGCCAATAAAATCCATTTTGAAAGATTTTTGCAGCTGTCTTTTTTGACGAGAAATAACTTCCGCATGCTTCAGAATGACAAAGTTTAATGACACTACTTACCTCATTGACGGGAATGAATCTTTGAAATATTTGATCAGGACAATATTTGAATAAGTTAGGGTCATCACAATAAAAATTCTTCACTTCGTTCAAAAACTTTTCTTTGTCTTGGGTACTCCAATCAGCTGACAAATCTCCTAAAGTAAGAAAATTGATATTTTTATCATACCAAGACATTGGATTAAGAGAAAGTAAGGATTCGTTAGGAAAGTAATCATCGATTGGTGTGATGCCAGATGTTGAA